TTTTGATCATTCCGTTACAAAACTACCAGGTGTAGCAGTCTGTTCAATATGCATCTGGTAAATCATGTCCGGACTCAACCATGATGCGAGCAAAAAGGAGGTTTATATAGTTGTATGGTTGTATCCCGACATGTGTGCGTGTGCGATTCCATCTTGACCCAAACAGACCTGAAGCAACACCGAGATAGTTGTTTGTAGAAATAGGCACCACAATCACTGATTTTTGCAATTTGATTTTCTTGAAAAAAACCGTAAAATTTAGACACCACACTTTCATTGATCGGATTCAGAGATGTGGGTTATCCCTCCGATTGCGGAAATAGCCCTGTCTCTAATATCCCGTAATACTCGTTAGATCTTCATGTGCTATGAACAATTGCCAGCTATTGAAGGGAAAGCATAGTATTTCGTCAAAACTACAGCCAATTTAACCCGCCTACCCTCTAGTGTATCTGAAAGCGAGAAGCTTAACAATCAGAGGTAGCACAACCAGTAAACATGTGATTGAGCGTTTTACTTGTGGCACTTTGGTCCCCTCGATTGCGCCAGAACACAACAACAATCGGCGGAGCAGTGTGCTTTTGCCTGACATGATTCCTGGTTCCACTGAATGGGTTTATCAATTCAATGGCATGGCAGATGTGTGAGATTGGGTTCCACTGGTGGAGACTAGATTTTCGAAGTTCTACCGCCTCACCGATTCTCGCATACCAGAATTTCAGGTCAACAATGAGAAAAACAACACGTTCCTTGTAAGCTGCACGTTGAAAACACACGTGACCGCGCCAAAATTGGCCGGCGTTTTGTTATTATCTTCACCAAATCACAAATGATTCCAGTATATCCTTCGTTTTTTGGTTTACTGTCAGTTGTATGATAACGGCATCACATTAATGGCACGTCTCCGGACAAGTCCCCAATCCAGCCTGATAATTGTTGGGTTTTAATTTTGTAAAGATTCACCAGATACCTCCTGTGTCATCCAGTTAGGCAACCGAATCGCTGGGAGTAAAAGAAGCATCAGAACTACCACACACTGATTAATTGCATACATCTAAGCAACATGTTCCATTTTCAATGGCATAGGTTCCCGTTGAGGATTGTTCTAATTTAATGTTTGTTTATTGTGAAACCCTAATGAAAACATATTTTAACAGTTTATTGTACCCCTTACACTTACATACATTGGAATATGAATTTCAATTCAAACTGCATCACCTCCGAGAGTTGGTTGTGTTTGAAATTTCCTCACACCTAATTCAACTGCGTCCAATGCTTGACATTACTTTTTGTCTTTAAATCATTGCATTCGGTTCTTCACCGATTCATTCAGTTGATTGGTCGATTTTTGTGAGCGACTGGTTTACTCTCACTGTAAGTACCACCTTGGTGTGTTGGTGTTGTTAAGAGCTCGGTTTTTATGTTTCAGATTGAACAGGAAGTTATCTATCATTATGTTACGTACGCATTTGTCTATCAGCTCCCATTGGTCGTACAAGCAAGCAACACACCTGGTCATGACAGAAACTGATTTATACCCTTCTAATCCGTTTTTTATTGTTCTTCGGCCGGACCTATTTCAGGTCATCGTTAGTCAACTGATGTACTCTCACGATCATTCAATAAATCTTTAATCCGTTTCCGACCAGCACGCTCTCTTGTGTGTTCTGATTTCCTGTGTTGTTTTCCGGAACTGATAATACTGTGCATAGCGTCGCGATTGGAATTCGGTCTTAGCACATTCCGAAGCTGAATATCTTGGAAATCCACTCCAGCCTAGTTGGTTGTGTCACTTCAGCACTAACCTGAACGGAACCTCGGTGTTGATGGGAAACTTTCGATTGAAATCAACAGATAGTCAACTATGTCTCCTTTCGCTGCTGTCGGGCTAAAATGAACTGACTGAAGATCACTGAAGACGACATTGGAACAATCATGAATTGGCAATGGGATTCAGCCCTGGCAAGAGCTGGTTACCACCGTAGTAACACCCACACCTTCCATGCGATGAATCCGTTGTTCAAAGTCCGGACCTGACTGTGGATGTGCACTACCGATGAGCTCTAATAATAGCAAAACGTGTGCCTAATGCTTGCGAGTGTACGGTTGACTAGAAGACAGGAGAATTGTGCGTGAACGTCGATTCTGAATGATGGCCAATTCAAATCAACATTTTGGTAATTTTAGTACAACCGGAATCTACACAAACCTCTATGGCTTCTTGAGGAAGACAGTACAGAATGTGCCATTGACTGCAGAACTATTACAGTATTCTGTCAGTTCTGAATTGAAACAGAAATATGTTACCCCAAAATAAAACAAATTTGATTAGGTAAATATTACTGTTGATCGAAGATGCATGCAGATGCGTAATCTGTGTGATTTGCAACATAATGCCCCGGACTTTCAGTCAAATCAACTTCAAAGAATCTGAAGGAAAATGCAACAGCTAGTAACAAACTTCGAGATTGAATATATACAGTATGCCTTGGATTACAAAGCGTTTACGAAAAGGCGAGGAAAACTCCTTGGGAAGGTCATTTGACCTGAAGCAGATTTTGTGACGAAGATACGTTCAACACTGTTTAAGTTCACGGAGTACAAACTCGGTAGACTGTCCCGTTGCAGCTTCCGGAAGAGCATTCAAGGAAATAGTGAGGCTGTTTTTTCATGGCGGTAATGAAATGGGTTTAAAGTTCCCAACGCCAGGTTTGTTTTGAAGTGTCGTACATTATTCGATGTTTCAATCTATGGGACATGACAAATTTCGCTCGTAAAAAGATGTGGATAACTCTTTGGACAGACCAACCTCGTGGAATAACATGAAGCGATAGCGAGCAAGAAAGGGGTCAGGATTGTGAAGACAAGTGAACGCCTATCTCTCCATCCCTTGTGCTTATTCTAGTTCGTACTCAACATCAGTCCATCGATGGGAATCACACTGTTGTTGGAATTGATGCGAATCAAGTGAAGGTATATGGTCACTCCGTACTCCTTGTCCGTGCAGAAGACAGAGGAGGAGAAAATAAGCTGAAGCGATAGTGATTTGAAAAGACGTCGTACTCTGAATCGGTTTCGTGGATCTGGATCTAGATTCTTCCACGTGTATGTCAAGTGAAAGATCACGCAGCCTGTTTTCGTACGATGTTTCTGGATTATACGTGTGTAGGGCTGAAGGGATAAATTGGAGGATGACCTTCACTACGGCCCGTGCTGATCAGTTCTGGCATCTTGACTGTAACAATAGACAGACTACGCCTGATGAATCCACCAAATAGGTCTCAAAAGGGATGGGTAGAAAATTTGGCCAGTTTTCAACATTCAGGTATCTTCCTTTTGGTTTCTGTCAAACAACCGATTCTTGTGGTGATTTAAATATGATAAGAACAAATCTTCCGCCGACACTTCGTCTTCGAGCAATAGATCGCAATGCCAATTATTGATTCCGTTCATTTCTTCCGCAGAAAGCCGAGATTTGTTGTATCTGATCCATTTAAGTTATGAATTTCGCACGTGATTTTATTAAAAACGCTCGCATTAGGTTTCCAGGTCCAAGTGCACTCTCGACCACAGACTCGTCTCACTCGACCGTCTCTTCTTCATCCCGAGCAGTTTGACACTGAGTTTTCTGTATCTGCCTACTACCAGATGTTCCCTGCTCCCCGCGTCTGGTGTCATCCGGCGTACTTTCTTGGAACTGGGTCACTATGGTTTCGTGCTTTCCTTCCCCCTTGGTCATGCAGAAACGATTCAATCTTAGTTTCACATCTGCTGCAAAGAGCACACAAGAAGTACTTTACAATGAATAAGTCAGCTTGCTTCTTGAACTGCTACGGAAATGGTTTGAGTAAGTTATATCGGAGTTATTTTCGACGGACCAATATGGTATTTTGAAGTCCATAGGGAGGCATAGAATTTCGGGCCTCCAGGTATACAGCCTGCTCCTGACGTTTTGCACCTTCTCAGTTTTACCCACATTTATTTCAGATTTCAGTGTACATTTTCCCAGCTCAAGGATTTTAGTAACAGAATGGAATAAAATAATATCAGCAGCGTGCCATACTGCGTATCAGTCAAACAGTCTGCCAAACAAAAATTACCGATTTTTTCCAATCTTGCCTTGGTTGATTCAATGTGGTCTACCACTTAAAAATAATGTAACAATTTGCTAGACTGTTTAGTTTTCAAACTCAGTTTCCTATTTAATCCGGAGATGATCCGATAATCCTGTTTTTTCACATTCTACTCGATACGTTCTGTGTCCAAAAATTGAGTTTCAACGGGCATTCAACAACGACTGATTCCCGATCAATAACCGAATCTTGATTATAAATGGTCATTATATTAATTGCTTATTGTTCGAAATACACAAAATACAAATAATTCAATGCTTATCTATTCATGTACCGCACGAATCGACCAGGAATTGGTTCCGATTCCGTCACTGGTACGAAGTAGTGCAGGGATAGTGTGCATCCCTTGGACCACCCGTTTCACGTCCTCTATGCACCATCTGGTGAATTCTTTTGGCGGAGACATGATGAAACCCTGGCACACCTGACATTCGTACAAAACCAAAAACGCAAACTGGTTTAACACTAGATGGTAAATATTTGGATTAGCCCATTCGGTTTTTCACAGGCTACTTTATGTGTTATCCCCTATCCGAAACTATATGTGGTGTGGATCATTTTGGCCCAGGCAAGGTTTCATTGAGTCAAAATCTTTTGGCGACAACAGAATCATGAACTTGTATTTAGTTCCCGTAATAAAACTTTGACTTTGAATCAATGAATGAAGAACCAGAGAAAACTAATCTGTTTATTGAAACACCATGATGAAAGGACATTTGAAAGTATGGTCAGCAGAAAATAGACATCCGTGCTTCAGTCATAAAATAATTGCCGAAGTGATCACATGAAGGCAAGTAAGACAAATAACTATAAGTCGAAATAGCTGGCGCTTAATCACAAAGTATTGCCTGAGTCAGACTGGACGCGTTAGTTCACCTCCGGATCGGTCACGTGTCCCAAGAACACCGGAATCTTATCATCGTAGATGAGGGACAAGAAGAACGGATGATCAACGCGGACGATTATTGGAGGTGGGGAGGGTGGCCGGTAACAATTTGTCATTATTGCGTATGTTGTGGCAGCAGCCGTGGCTCCTTCCTCGTCCACCTACAAAATGTATATATCACGGTTAGGCGGATACAAATCACATGGCAACGAAAAGTAGGACTCAGCCACAAATCTAACCACAGCACAGTGTTGACGATTTATCCCCCAAGCGTGAAAGTCCCTTTGAACATGCTCGTGATCGAACTGTGAATTGGAAACAAATGAAATACCTGACGATTGGTGTCTATAGAAGCAGTCCGATCGGTTTTCGTTGAAAGTTCTGTCTGTATTCAGCTGCTCTCTGTCTGCCACCCTTTCAAATGTAAATATCAAATCACAATCCGAGGGAGAAAATTTTAACCCCATAATAACACCTCGAGGGTTGATGACCGATTTATAAACTGATCTCCCAGATAACAATCTATGTTACCCGGGTTATAACAAATTGATTTGTTTTTGCAAACCTGTATTTCAGTTTCAGTTTCAGTTTGAACAACCATTAACCATGCACTTTCGTGCGCCGGTTTTGGTTGCTGTCTTTTGGCTGCCCATTGGGATGAAGAATAGGAGAAGAAAGGAAAGTTGAAATCTGTATTTAATGATATACAAACCTCAAACCAAACCAAAAGTTTTGGAGCTAAGCTAGAGGTTGCTTATGGGTCTTGCATTAAATCATACTGAGCGAGTGCTTCTCAATTCACAATGATTCCACAACGTTGACGCACACCATGTGATGGAAACCAAATGAAGATCGAAATTTATTCAACATCTGTGAACAAAATTTTCAGTGAAAGAATGTTATCGCTTGCAAGCAAATAAAAGCGACTGAATGAAGTGGTGTTCTGTAAAACGTTAATGATGATGACGACAGAGAATGCGTAAAGGAACTAGGCACTGTAATATGATTTACAGCTTATTTGATAGTTGTTCCGAGCACACCAGTAAATGAAAAATATAGAGCACAAAACTGAGAAAAGCTGTGGTATGGCTGTGCAAGGATTAAAATTGATTGCGGATGACAGAAGTGGAGATGGAACGAGAGAGGGCTAAGTGCATAGGCTGTGGCGCATCAGAGAGGACCGAGTCACACAGATGGTTACATGCTGTAATTTGTTGATGGGAAAGTTGAGCAGCAAAACATAAGGGACGGTTTCTTGACCAAAGAGATCTATCTACATACTGATACCTACAGAAACGCTAGCTAAATAGTATCTGAACAATATGAAGACTTTATACAACTAATTTGGGATGAACAGCAGGTCCGATGGCATAAAATCTGTGAATAAATAAATATGGAAATTTCACACAACTGCATTCTCGTATGTCTAAGGCGTGAAACGTGAAGCGTCACCTTTCTGACTTTAGGAAGTATTTATTGCATGTGGCAGGACCATTAGAGGCTAGCAGACAGAAACCATTCGAGGTATTTGAAATGCAGCAACTTTTCAATGGGTGAGTCACTATTCAGAAAATTGGAAACGGGTGATCCGGAAAGAGTAGATACTCACGAAAGGGGAGAGAAATGATCAATGCATTTGGTGGCATTTGAGGAGGAATTAACGCCGTCGGATTATTCGGTAATGAACGTTATGGCTAACTGAAGGGGGTTTATAAAAGAGTTGTTGTATTCACCTCCAACTACCACGTCGTCGATTTACTTGTATGTGATAACAGATATAGGGAGCTGTACAATATGGAGTGTAAAGGAAGAAACAAGCAATTTCAAAGTTTACTTCATGCAGTAAAAGGCGGAGCAGGCAAAGGATGTGTCTCCTGTGTGTGAGAAACAACACAGAATGAAACAAATGTATAACAGGTGACCCCGTGCGGGGTAAAAGTGATTGGTTAGACAAAATACTTACTTCTAAAATCGCCTTATGATTCACAGCGGAAACAAAAAGTGGTTCACGCTCACATATTCGTTGTAGATTGGCAGTAGAGAAGGAGAACACCGAGTTTATACCAAGCTTCCCTAAAAGCTTTACTACATCGATTCCCCTATTCTCGTTCAACTTGAAGCGTGGTAGAAAAAGGTCTACTTTCATCCTGTCAAATTGTCCATCCAAAACATTTTTCAGTTGACCAGATTGAAGTTTTGGTAACAATGTGTTCAGGCCATCATGTTCGTTTGGTAAAACTATCAACATCTTCCATCTGAAATCATAGGGGTAGTGAAAACCAATGCAATTTCATGATTAGCTGGTTGTTTATAGAAAAAAAGAAGTAACGTGTTTTGGATCCTGCTTTAGCGCAGTGTGGATCCAGTAGATGATACACCGGAAGTGGTTGCAGATGCATTCATGTAAGTTACTGAACTCTTTAGGATGAAGAAAGATCCCTTACTATCCGTAATGAATACATTAACTGAATAAAAAAGTGAAATAATGTGCTAATGAAGTGTAACCCGGGGTGATGAGTATACTGAATGTGCATACCTGGTGAGTGGCAATCACACTGAACCCGTTCATGTGCTTCCACGGGGAATGACCGAATAATTCAGAAAAAAATATGTGAATGGATGTATATTCAAACTTTCTAGTCTGCAAAGTGGAGCGGAAAATTTATGGGCATTATTATCTTACAATTTGCAGCAATATCTGTAAGCAAGGCTCGGCGGTGCGGGTGTCCGAGCATTTTTGAGGCATGTTCCACGAATATATATATATATATACTATGCACTGAGAAAAAATCAAGATATTGTCATTTTTCTCACGGATAAGGGTAATCCGACTGCGATACTAGACAAAACAGAGTATAAAGATAAATTAGGTGAACTTATCGGTGATTCAAAGACATATCAACCAGTCATAGGAAACCCTAAAAAAACTCCACGTAACAGGTTGACTAGAAAGCTCACAGAACTCAGGAAAAACAACAAACTCATTGAAAAACAATACAAAGACATCAAACCTACGGAGGACCCCATCCCGCGGACCTACAGACTTCCAAAGGTGAACAAAACCGGTGTACCACTAGGTCTGATCGTTTCTTCGACAACGGTTCTCAACTACAAGCTAGCTAAGTATCTCCTCCCTTAATTACGCCCGTCTATTACAGAAGATAACGGCGGTTCAAAATCTTGGTCACACTCCTCGATCGACACAACTAGATCGGAAGTGAATACAGAGTCTCATAGGAGGTGATCCTCGCCTTCCAGAAAGAACACCACTATCAGCGACTGACATCATAGAGCTCCTTGAACTTTGTATGGAAACATACCTGCAGTTTGACAGAGGATATATCGACAGGTGAAAAGAACCCCAGTGGGATCACCAATATCCGGTCTACAAGCTGATTTGGTAATAACACAATTCGAAGCCAAGACATTTGAAGAATATCGCCCTCGTCTCTGGATTCTATATGTGGACGACACCTTTGTGGTGCTACCGGCAGAAACAATCGAACAATGCCACGATGACCTAAACAAGGTTATGCTAGGGATAGGGTTTACCCGCAAGGAGGAAAACGAAATGAAGCTCCCTTTCTTAGATGTCTTCGTCATAAGAAAATCACACGGAAACGCGGAAACCACCGTGTGCAGGAAACCCACAACCGATCAGGTGCTCAGCTACGATAGCAATCACCCCACATGTCACCTAAGGAGCTGTAAGTACATCTCATTCCACCGTGCGGAGACATTGTAGCACGGAAGAACTCCGGCATCAAGAACGAATGCATATGTTCTAGCAATTCCGTACAAATGGATACCCCAAAAGTTTCGTCCAATCATGCCTTAGGGGAACAAGAAAACCGAAGGATGAAGAGAATGGAACGAAACTCTTATTGCTACATATATGATGGGTATCAGAAGCCGTCAATCACATCCTTCACCGTCTGGGTGTTATCATTGCCCTCAAACCTACAACCACACTGCGGTCAACTTTGTTCAACGGTAAGGACTATGTCGAACCACACGACCAATCATGGGTGATGTACGTGATTCCGTGCCTAGATTGTGACCAACGTTGCGTGGGAGAGACAGGCAAACAGCTGTGCACTCGTCTACACGAACACACTTGCACAACAACGCAAAAGTAGTGGCACGAACATACAGGAACGGGGAACATCTGATTATTGAAGCGCTGCTTTCGACGAACTCATTCAATCGACACATGCAAATCGATAAACATTACGCAATGATTGTACAACCAATGTGAAACGCGGGATTGACGGACAATCAGACGCGAGGTTCAAACGTACCAAAATTCATTCACATAAATTATCGTTTGACAACGAGTCCTAGTATGGACTGAAGCGTTACAATACATACTGCCACTCAGTACCCACCTCTTTATAT